AGATACAAAACCGTTCGAACTCGCCGGCTCGCAGCTGCCTCTGCGCGTCCTGGGGAGGTACATTTGTTGCGCACCGGAGACGTGCGCGGTGTGTCATGCTTGCACGCGCCGGCCCCGGCCGGCCATCACAGCTCCACGGCTGTGGCCTTGGCCTTGAACGCCTCGACCCACTCGCCCACCACGCCTGACGCCGCGTGGAAGAGCTCGGCCGCCTCGGTCTTGATGGCCTCCGCCCACGGCTCGGTCGCGCCAAAGTGCCGCTGCGGGAAGCCGAGCTCGTACATGTAGCTCGTCTCCTGCGGGACACGAATTCATCACTTGAGTAATGGACCGATGGATGAAGTTAGTACTGCATGCAGCTCGTCTCCTTGTCGCCGCCCGGGGAGTACCGCGTCTCCTGCAAGGGACGTGTCGGGCGCATGTCAGGGACGTGTCGTGCACGCATCTCGGGCTGCTGCCGCGTCGCCTGCCCGATGTTGAACAGCCGCAACACGCCGCTCATCCGGTGCCCACCGTCGTTCTCTCCTCCTCTCCCGCCGCCGCCGCCTCTCCCGCCGCCGCCGCCTCTCCCGCCGCCGCCGCCTCTCCCGCCGCCGCCGCCTCCGCCGCCTCCGCCTCCGCCGCCTCCGCCGCCTCCGCCTCCGCCTCGGCTGCGCAAGACGGCGGACCCCTCCCACGCGATGACGAGCGTGAGGTCGTAGAAGAGCGCGCGCGCCTCGCCTTTGAGCTTGACCGACGCGTGCACCTCGCTCTGCGACGGCTGCAGCCCCTTGACCACGAGCGTCGCGCAGTGGCTCTCGCCCGCGTGCCTGTGGGGCGTGTGCATGTGCATGTGCATGTGCATGTGCATGTAGCATGTGCATGTGCATGCGCATGTGCATGTGCATGTATGCATGTGCGTGTGCATGTGCGTGTGCGTGTGCGTGTGCGTGTGCGTGTGCGTGTGCGTGTGCATGTGCATGTGCATATGTGTATGCATATGTTATGTTGTCATGTTCATGTGCATGTGCATGTGCATGTGCATGTGCATGTGCATGTGCGTGTGCATGTGCATGTGAATCAACTTCAAGTGGCGAACTAACTGACTCGCCCGCGCGCCTGTGGGACGTGTGAATGAACTCTTCGACTAGCTGACTAACTGGCCGCGAGCCGCAGCGGCTCTCTCCAGCGCAATCTCGTCACGCTCCCCCGGCAATCACGCCCCACAATCTCCCAAAGTAGTCGTGGTCGCGTGTGATCTCGCGTCATCTCGCGTGATCTCGCGTGATCTCGCGTCATCTCGCGTGATCTCGCGTCATCTCGCGTCATCTCGTGTGATCTCGCGCGATCTCGCGTGATCTCGCCTCTCGGTGTGCGTCAGCCCGCGCAGCCTCTCGGCCAGCCAGCCCGCCGCCCAGTGCGAGAAGTCGACCTGTCCAGTGCCAAGGAATGGTGAAGAATTCACCCTTCTCGGCCAGCCCAGTGCGAAAAGTCGAACCTCGCGCAGGTATCCGCGCGTCGCCGCCGCGCGACTCGAGCGCGCCAGCGCCGTCGGCGCCGCCGCCTCCGAGGCCTGCGTGGTGAAGCTTGAGGGCCTCGTTACCGTGTACGCATCGCATCGCATCGCATGCACACAGCGGAGACAGGGGCGAGGGCGTGTGTGTGTTCTCTACGGCCCCTAACGGCCCTACGCCGCGGCGTGAGAGCTCGGAAGCGAGCTTTGCACGGCGATTGTGGCGGATGGCGCGACTCACCCCCGTCACCGAGGCGATGGAGATGCGTTCCGCGTGGTGTGGCACAGCCGGGAGGCGGGAGTGGGGAGGGGAGGCGGTGTACATGCAGCGGCGCACGCTCCTCCTCCAGTGGCGGGTGGAAGACAGCAGTCTCTGCTTACTCCCTCTCGGCTCCGGAGCCTGGCCCGCCGCCGGCAGCGACACACCTGCGGCCCGCAGCTTGGCGGCGCGCGCCTCGCGGTCACGCTGCAGCACGGCCTGAGGGGAGATATGGGGAGATATGGGGAGATACGGGGAGATATGGTCCGTCTCGCGGTCACGCTGCAGCACGGCCTGGGGTCGGACGCTCCCGGGTCACCTCGTCGAATCTCATCAAAGAATCTCGGCGAATCTCGTGAATCTCCTCAAAAAATCTCGGCGAATCTCGGGCCTCGGCCGCGTCGTCGTCTGCGCGCTTCTCGAGCGCCGCGATGCGGCGCAACTCGCGCGAGAGGAGGGCGGGCGCGCCTAGTCCCGCACCTCCACAGTATCGAACCCAGTGTGGGTTCAGTCCAGTGGGTGGTGCGGTATTGCGATGCGGCGCAGCTCGCGCTTGAGTGGGGCGGGCCTCGGGTCATCTCGGGTGATCTCGAGAGACCTCGGGTGATCTCGAGTGATCTCGGGTGATCTCGAGTGATCTCGCGCCTTCCGGGTCGACGGCGATGGCCGCCTCCATCGCCCGCCGCGCCTCGGGCCACTGCCGCTCCATCTCGTGCGCGAGCGCCTTGCGGTACTGCACCTTGCTTAGCACCGCACAGCCGACACCCGCCGCCTCCTTCTCCTCCACCTTCTTCTCCGCCGCCGCCTTCTCCGCCGCCTCCTTCTCCGCCGCCTCCTTCTCCGCCTTCTCCGCCGCCTCCTTCTCCGCCTTCTCCGCCGCCGCCTTCTCCGCCTTCTCCGCCGCCGCCTTCTCCGCCGCCGCCTTCTCCGCCGCCGCCTTCTCCGCCTCCCTCAGCGCCGCCTCGCAGCAAGCGAGCGCCTCGCCGCCCCGCCGCAGCTTGAGGAAGGCCGCCGCGTGGTTTGAGTGCAGCACCACCCTCGCCGCCGCGCCTCCGCCCCCGTCGGCCGCCAGGGAGAGCGCGCGCGCGTAGCACGCGGCGGCGTCGGGGTACTCGCCCGCCTTGAAGTGCGCGTTGCCCGCCTCCTTCGCCGCCGCCGCCGTCGCGTGCCCGTGCGCCCGCTCGAGGTGAGGCAGCTGCACCGGGTCCCGCCTAGCGGGAAGGTTCCTGGAACTGTCCAGGAGAGGCCCTCGGAAGGGCCGGCTCGGCCGCTGGACTGGGTTCGCCGCTTCATGCGGCCGCCAACCTCGGCCTGCAGCATGTCCTCCTCCCGCAGCTTGAGCCGGTCCTTCCCGCCCTGCATCGCCATCAGCGCCTGCGCCAGACGCGGGTCCTCCATCACCTCGCGAGCCGCCGCCTGCCCGTCGAGCGCGCGCAGCCGCTCGACCGCCGCGCGGAAGCCCGAGTCGGCGACGTGCGGCCGCGTGTCAGGGTGCGAGGCCAGCCGCTCCCAGATGTCGACGGCGCGAAAGATGGCAAACGGTGTGCCGGCGATGTCGGCTGGTAGCGGACCGTCGTACACGATCGGCTCCTCCTCCTCCTCGGCTGGCGCCGCCTCGCCATGCGGATCATCTGCCGGCGTGTCGGCCAGCATGCTCGCGACAGCTTAGCTGAGGTGGAGGCGGGAGCGGCGCTCGATTTCTTTTGTTTCGCGCCGTCGCACCTGTGTGAGTTGATTCATTAAATTCTTTGTGTAGGGCCAAAAATCTGAAATCGCTTCGATTTTTTGTTAAGCCGCTGCAAATCTGGCCACTCGTTGCGGTGCTCTGGAGTTCTCTGGAGAGACATGCTGCTCCGCGCGGCGCGACGCGCGTCAGCTCGACTCGTGGCCGTCGCAACGCCACGAGCGCCGATCCTAGCAGGCCTCCGCTCCGCACAGCCGTCCCTGCCGCCACTGCCGAGGCTGCTCAGCACCCAACCGCGCAGCCAGAGAGGCGAGAGAGGCTTTCTGTTTGCTGAGCTCAAGCGGTGCCGCCACCTAGAGGATGTGGCGCGGCTGGAGGCGAGGCTGCAGCCGCTGAGGACCACAAAGGAGTGGACTAAGCTCATCACGGCTCACGCCAGGGTCGGAGACCGCCGCCGCGCCTTTGGCATCCTCGATGAGATGCGGCAGGCCGGATGTGAGCCAGACGTCTTCAGCTACAGCATTCTCATCAACCTGTGCGCAAGGTCGAAGGACTGGAAGACGGCGGTGTCGCTGCTGCGCGAGATGCCAGGCGCGGGAGTGCCGCCGAACGAGGTCAGCTACAGCGCAGCCATCTCTGCGTGCGAGAAGGCTGGTCGTTGGGAGAAGGCGCTGTCGCTGCTGCGCGAGATGCCTGCTGCAGGCTTGTCACCAAACGTGGTCAGCTACAGCGCAGCCATCTCTGCGTGCGAGAAGGCTGGTCGTTGGGAGGAGGCGCTGTCGCTGCTGCGGGAGATGCTTGCTGCGGGTGTGCAACCAAACGTGATCAGCTACAGCGCGGCCATCTCTGCATGCGAGAAGGCTGGCCAATGGGAGAAGGCGCTGTCGCTGCTGCGCGAGATGCCTGCTGCGGGAGTGCGACCAGACGTGTACAGCTACAACGCGGCCATCTCTGCGTGCGAGAAGGGAGGGCAATGGGAGAAGGCGCTGTCGCTGCTGCGCGATATGCCTGATGCAGGCTTGTCACCAAACGTGATCAGCTACAACGCGGCCATCTCAGCCTGCGAGAAGGCTGGCCGGTGCGATGAGGCGCTGTCGCTGCTGCGGGAGATGCCTGCTGCGGGTGTGCAACCAAACGTGATCAGCTACAGCGCGGCCATCTCTGCATGCGAGAAGGCTGGCCAATGGGAGAAGGCGCTGTCGCTGCTGCGCGAGATGCCTGCTGCGGGAGTGCGACCAAACGTGATCAGCTACAACGCGGCCATCTCTGCGTGCGAGAAGGGAGGGCAATGGGAGAAGGCGCTGTCGCTGCTGCGCGAGATGCCTGCTGCGGGAGTGCGACCAGACGTGATCAGCTACAGCGCAGCAATCTCTGCGTGCGAGAAGGCTGGCCGGTGTGGTGATGCCCTGTCGCTGTTCAGCAAGATGCAAGAGGACGGCGTGCAACCAGACGTGTACAGCTACAGCGGAGCGATTCAGGCGTGCGCGGCGGCACAACAGCCTGCTGAGGCGCTGCGGCTCTTTAAGGAGGCGCTGAGGTCGGTGGAACCGAGCTGTATCACCTTCAACGCGGTGCTGGACGCTGTCGCGTCGCCGCAGCCGGCCATTGCTCGCGAGCTGTGGCTACAGGGCTGTGAGCGTGGCCTCTATCCCAAGGTAGAGAAGTGGGAAGCCGGCGCGCCGATGCTAGACCTGCACGATCACTCGGAGGGCGCGGGCGAGACGGCGCTGCGGTGGTGGCTGGAGGAGCGCGTGCCAGCGCTGCAGCCGAAGCCGAACCGGCTCATCATTGTCACTGGCTTTGGAAAGTCGCGCCCCGCCACGCAGGTCAGCGACCTGCGAGGGCGTGTGGCGGGCGCCCTTGCGGCGATGGGCGCTCCCACGCTGCCGAGCGACAACCCAGGGGAGTTCGTCGTGGACATGAAGGCGTGGACCGATAAGGTAAGGTAAGGTAGATTTCTCCAGGATTTCTCCACACACACAAAGTGGTGGGGCAAGGGGGGCGACCCTCGCATCTCCACGCCCGGACACGGGCAGGAGCCCCACGGCATTCAAAGTGCAAGCACTGGCCCGGTGCACGTGGGTGAGCAGCCTGCCGGCTCCGGCTCAGGTCAGAGGGCCCAGCGACTCGTCGGTTGGGTGTAAACGGGCATCCCCGAGTGGCTTCAAACCAAACAGGGTGTGAATAGAGCTGTCTTGATGGTGCTGAGGACGAAGCCACCTCAAACTTTGATGAAGCCGCGAGTTTTTATAGTTTTCATTAGCTGTGAATAGTTATTGCGCCCGCCGCAGCCCGCCCTATTCCACTGGGCACGCGCCGGGCCACGAGAGCCCTGGAAGAGCCCAGCTGGCATGTTCTATCGCCCGGGTGGCGGGCTGTCTGCATACAGACGTCTTGTCGCCATGGCTGACGCACGACTGGTCCGACGTGCGGTGGGAGTTTGACCTCAGACAGGCCGTCGGTGTCGGCGGGCTGACGGCGGCCGCCGGAATCGCGATTCGCTCTGCCAGCTGCCAGCAGCCTCGTGTCGCGGCTCTCACAGGTGCAGCTGCCAGCAGCCTCGTGTCGCGGCTCTCAGCGGTGGTGATTGGTCTTTGCGCCGTCGCTCGACGGCGTCACCACCCATCCGATCTGCGCAGCTCCTGCAGCTCCTGCAGCTCCTGCTGTCAGTCTTCTACTCTCACTCGCCGCGCGCGGATTGTGCGCCGCACCAGCAGGACACATGCTCATGCAAACAGTGCGAGAACTTGGTTGCGCCGCTTAGTGGCGGCGCTGATTTAGAGGAAGCGGCAGCGTGGGAAGCACAGCAGATGGAGGCGGCGCGGCATGCCAAGGAGCTGCAATCGCAGTACTGGGGGCGGCAGCGCCAGCAACGAGCAAGGAGAGACTGGCGGAGGTTGAGCGGCTGAGTGCAGCAAGGGCCAAGGGCAAGAAAAAGGAATGTGGGCGTGGGCGATACGGGCGCCGCTAGGCTCAACGAGGAGATGCTGTGCAGTTAGAGAGCTCGTAGCGAGCTCGATTTTGGATGAGAATTTAGATGAGAAATCCCTCAATTTTGAGAAAAAACGCCAAAAAATCGGCGCCTGCGGCGGGCCAGCCTCCGGCGGCGCCTGCGGCGGGCCGCTGGGGCTTCCTCCCCAGACCCCGTTTACACCCGAGCTATGCCCCACGACCTGAGCCGGAGCCGCCCCTCCCTCCCGACAACCAACTCCCGCACACACACAAAGCGCACTCTGGCCATCGAATGACTCCGAATGACTCACTGTGTGTGCTAAGACAGGTCTAAGTGCATTGCCGTTCTTAACGGAGTCGCTTAGGCGGCTCCGGTGGTGTGCCGGTGATAGTACTAGCACGCGCCAGTTCGCACCTGTGTCGAGCCTGTGTGCTGTGAGAGAGAGTTGATGTGTTTAAATCTTTTCTCAAGCCGGCAGCGTGGAGTGCGGGCGTGAAGGCCAGCAGCATCGTGGCCGACTCGGGCTTCTCGGACGCTTCCGATGGCGCCCTCGAAGCATCTGTTCTTCTTCAGCTTATTTCTTTTTCTCGCGATGTCCACCCCGCCGCGCCGCCGCTCGCGCCGCCTCGCCTCCGCCTCCACCGCCTCCCCCTCGCCAGGCACGCCGCCGCCCGCCCGCCTCCTCGACCTCCCCACGGAGCTCCTCCTGCGCGCCCTCTCTCGCTGCGACCCCGCCGACATCGCTCGCGTCGCGGCCGTCTCGCTCCTCTTTCACGCCTCGCTTGCGCTCGAGGCCATCCGCTTGTGGGCGCAAGAGCGCGGCTTCGAGCTGCCGGCGCAGCCAGAGGGCGAGAGCTGCGCCGTGCGGTGGCTGTGCTTCGCTGCGCTGCTGTGCGAGTCCAACCCGCCGATGAGGGCGGCGGCAGGCCTTCAGCACAGCCTCTTCATCGATGGCGAGGGGCGGCTCTCGTCGTGCGGAAAGGCTGAGAGGTGGATGCCAGGACTGCTCGGTCATGGCGAGTGCGTGACGCAGCTCAACACGCCGACACGCCTCCCTTCCCCGCTGGGCGGCGAGCGCGCCATGAGCGTGACGGCTGGACAGTGGCACAGCCTCGCCATCACCGCCAGCGGCAGCGTCTGGAGCTGGGGCTATGGAGGCAATCTGGGCCACGGCGACGGGCAGGACCAGCAGCTGCCCAAGAAGATCGAGGCCTTTGCTGACCAGCGCGTCGTCGTGACCTCGGCTGGAGGGTTGCAATGCCTCGCCCTCACCGCCGACGGAGCCATCTGGAGCTGGGGCAATGGAGACTTTGGCCAGCTGGGCCACGGCGACAAGCAGAACCAGCTGCTGCCAAAGAAGGTCGAGGCCTTGGCTGGCCAGCGCGTCGTCGCTGTGTCGGCTGGAGCATTCCACAGTATCGCCCTCACCGCCGACGGCGCTGTCTGGAGCTGGGGCCGTGGAGACGACGGCCAGTTGGGCCACGGCGGCAGGCAGGACCAGCTGCTTCCAAAGAAGATCGAGACCTTGGCTGGCCAGCGCGTCGTCGCCGTGTCGGCTGGAGGCGTGCACAGTCTCGCCATCACCGCCGACGGAGCCATCTGGAGCTGGGGCTGTGGAACCTATGGCCGATTGGGCCACGGCGAACTGCAGGAGCAGCTGCTTCCAAAGAAGATCGAGGCCTTGTCTGGCCAGCGCGTCGTCGCTGTGTCGGCTGGACTAGTCCACAGCCTCGCCATCACCGCCGACGGCGCCGTCTTTACCTGGGGCAAGGGTGAAGACGCCTGCCGAAGAGCCTGCCTAGGCCACGGAGAGGACCTGTCGATCCAGCTGATGCCCAAGAAGATCGAGGTGTGGGCGCCGGGGCAGTGATGAGAAGGGCGAAAGGATGGGTGTGCATGTCGCGGAGGCTTGCAGAAGATGGGGGAGGGGGAGCGCAAACGAGAACCGAGACGCTTTGGCGCGGATCATTGGGAACGGAGTAATACGAAACATTTTGAGCAACACTTCAAGCAACAAACTCTCCCCTAAAAGCCTCAGCCTGCCGCTCGCATTCCAGCAGCCCAAACGGTCAATCTGCGCCTCAAGCTGTGCAGCCGTGACCTACCCACAGTCAATATCGCATGTGTGAAGAGACGCCAGCACACCGCCCCGACGCGGTGCAGGACGGTGACAAACCGGTTTGCACTGATGTACTGCCTGCGCGTTGCGCCGCGAGCAGTCTCGTAGTAGTAGTAGCAAGAACTGCTCGATCGCCCACCGAAGCCGTAGACTTCCACGTGTGCGCACATCCGCAGCGCCACGGCGACGGCGAGGAGTCCGGTAGAGGGCGTCCTGCCGATGTCCGCGAGGAGGCGCCCATGCACCTCGTGACGGAAGAGGCGAACGGATAAGCAAGATGCGCAAGATGCAGGCCGAGCGGCCCGAGTTGCGGGCGCCGAGTTGGAGCTAGAGGTACGCAGCCTTGCACCTCATGGTAGAAGATGGGGTTGATCGCATGCACATTTGGAGCGCCCGCCAGCCTGTTTGGCGAGCACAGAGGGAGAACGTGGTGAACATGACATGTCGAGTGTGAGCCTCTACCGGGGTCAAGGGAACATTTCAGAATTATCTAGGCTCTGCCGCCCGTGCTCGTGGTAGAAGACTCGCGAGACGGTCAGGTTGGGGTGCCGCCTCGCGTGCCTACCAGGAGGTGCGGACAAGGTGTGCTGCGGTGCGATTTCGGAGCGATGGGAGGTTGCTCACTCGCGGCTTGAGAAGGATTCGTCGTCGCGCTGGCCAAAGAGGCGGTAGTGGCAGGAGCCGAGCCAGGTCTGGTATTCGCAAATGGGGAGGTACCCCGCACGCCCGGGTG